ATCAATCACTCCAGGCTTTTCCAAAGTTGAATATCAAATAAAGGGCCCGCAACAAACCTCCTTCCTCCCGGTACTCAAAAAATCCCGCTTTCTCTCGGCTTGGCCACTGCCAATGCGGTTCCTAGTGGGGCCAACCATAATATAAGTGGATAACTAAAAATCAACTTCTCCAGCTCTCCAGTTGATTGAATCTAGCGCTTTGAAGCTCCCTCTCGGATGCTCGTGGTGCTCACTCAAGTCCACTATTGGCTCGGCCGGTAAATTCCATTTCCGAATTTTCTACTTTATGAATATGGCGGTGGGGGGCTCCGGACCGCCACTACAACAGGGCGCACCAACTGAAGATACATCTTCCATTACTATCAAGGCAGGCCCAGGTGAAAACCTAGTGTGAGGAAAGGCGCTCTAAGGGTCATGGGTATAGGGTGGGTGGAGTGTGCTAACGCGATGCTGGTTGCGGTTGGTGTCCCGTAGGTCTTTGATCCAATACTATAGTTCACTTGACCAACCATTGAAGTTTATGGTGGATAGATACTGGAAAATATATATGATGCTCATGAAAAAGATCTAGGTACTCTGCACCAAAAGCCCGGCATCTCCGCCAACACGGAGATACTCCATTAAGGAGTGGAATTCATGAGGGTGTGGACGCATGAAGTAGGCCTTATTCCCAATTCCAAAGTCTGAATTAACACCGGTAGCGAATGAAGGTGGCTGTTAGAGAGAATACAGCAGATAGAGCTTACTGTTGAAAGTCACTGGCACTCACTTGCCGGTCGTATTAATTTCTGGTTGGTATGTGAGATTTCATACTAGCAAAGATTTCTGCCGCTAGTATCATTAGTCTTATTTCACATTTAGCTTCAGAATTCAGGAGGAAGGACTCTACCGAATTCCAAGATACTAGGCGATAATTTGAGCAGTATTTCAGCGAAACTCAGTGAGCCGGCTAAATTGGTATGAGGACTTCTCTCAGGAAGAACACGAGCAGGACCTGGGAAGACGGAAGAAATGCCGGAAAACCCAGATGCTCATGTGTTGGGATAGGGAGGATCTCTGCAGCTTGTAGATAGACGTTTTTATTGTGGTTAGGGACCTCATCGGTCTATATGGACAGTGTTCCCAACCGTCCAGTCCGTCTGTCTTTAGGGTAGGACGGGACGGACTACAGCTGGTAGTCCGTCTTTTGGGAGTGCCAAGATGCACTACGCCCGGGACCGGTAGGACTAGACGGACTACCGGGGACTACGGTCCTGCTGCATAAAATTCTAGGGACAAAATGACAGTCCCCGCAGTGCGTGGTAGTCCCCTGTAGTCCCCTGTAGTCCCCTGTAGTCCCCTGTAGTCCCCTGTAGTCCCCTGTAGTCCCCTGTAGTCCCCTGTAGTCCCCTGTAGTCCCCTGTAGTCCCCTGTAGTCCCCTGTAGTCCCCTGTAGTCCCCTGTAGTCCCCTGTAGTCCCCTGTAGTCCCCTGTAGTCCCCTGTAGTCCCCTGTAGTCCCCTGTAGTCCCCTGCCGTCCCCTGCCGTCCCCGAGGTCCCCCACCGTTCCCCTTGCCAACCTTGTTTCACCCCATAGGGCCCGCCGTCCTACCCAAAGATGGCCGTCCTCTACTTTCACTGCCCGGGGCGGACTGCACATGGCCGTCCCGTCCCGGCCAGGGCTCTTGGCAGTCCCCCCGTGGGGCCCTGCCGGGCCCCCGGACGGTTGGGAACACTGTATGTGGACCCCATCTTGCCAACAAAGCGCTAATCCTGCTAGCTCTCCTATTTTCTGTGGGACAAAATAACGGGTCATCTCCATCCAACCCGCTTCAACCTCCCAATACCTCCTTCTGTTAGTTCTACAAACTGACCCAAATAGCCCTTTGTCCTAGCCCGGGTCCCACAGCTTTGGGAGCCTGGTGGGCCGGAAACTTTGGCTGCCTTAGGTCCGGTCGACATAGCTCCTTTTCAATACTAGTTAAAAAATTGCAAGGTTTGCTTGGAATCAACTCACACCTGGTGCTAAATTTGACTTGCAAAGAGCTTTGTGGGGCGGTGGAAATTCTATGTACAATCATACTCTAGCGGGTGGCTCTAATGGCTAATGTACGATGATTTGTCTATAGGGTGCAGGATCTGAAAAATAAAAATAAAAGTAAAGAGCAGAGAAAACAGGACCATAAGCGAGGCACCCCCGAAGAAGGAAGAATACACTAGCTCCTTAACAACGGTCCTCCATGAGCCAGTGACATGGGCCTTATTCCTCTTGGAGGAAGGGAGGAAAGGGGTGGATGAACAAATATCGCAAGATGGAAAGGGAGCTCCAAGCCCAAGGCCAGACCCAACCAGCTAAAGAGGAAATTAGTAGGTTGGTGGGACACTCCCCACCTTTTCTAAATTCTTTTCCATCCCTTCCTGCTATCTCCGGAGAGACTGTCATCAACCTGCTTCTGCTATCAGGGTCACTTGATAGGTTCACAGATTAACAGTAAGTGTGGAGGTATCCCCATAGTATCTTTTGAATGAGCGGCGAAGGCAACAGCGAACGAACAAGGGTCCGTGGCAACGAGCCAATCGGAAAACTAAGCGAGTGACCGGCTGTGAAACGAAACAACACCAAGCTCACACACGTGAAAGGATCACACAACTCACAGCCAGTGAAAACTCTTTTCTTCTCGCACAAACACACTCTATTCCCTCTCACTCACACTCTCACCCCCTAAACTGTCGCGCACACTTTCTAACTTACATCGACTAACGGAAAAGACAGGAGTATAAATCACAACCGCGATACAGCCAAACCGCAAACCAAGTTCTCCGGTCCCCCCCCCGGGGTAAGTCCCCATCTCACTCGCAAGTAAACACACAAACTAACAAAAGAAAAGACAGACTTCCGCCGTCAAACCACAGCCTCCGCCAGGCTTTTCTTCTTTTCCTCCGTTCGTCACCTTCTTCCATGAGGATCGAAACCTCCGCGCTCCACCGAAGCGCTTTCCCGGCGCCGAACTGCTTTTCCGGAAGCCAAAGTACGTCCCCAGAAAACCAATCAAACAAAGAAAAAATACTAACTACTGCGCAAACAGAGAAAACGACGTCCTCCTATCCTTCCCTTTGCCAGTATGCATTCCCTTCCCGTTCTCAGAAATCCTCACGTTAACAAAAGGAAACAAATAAACATAACAGGTTCTTCCAGAACCTTTCTTTTTCTCCGGTGTCCTTCCTTCTGCGCCTGCCTATCACGCCTTCCTTTCGCGCACACTCCCGGCGCCTCAGCGCTCCCCCGATAACCAAAGGGCGCTCCCGGGAAACTAACAAAGCAAAACTAACTAGCATGCAAACAGGAAAAAACACCGTTCAAACAAATCAGCAAATAAAGGAGCGAACGAACGAACGAACGAGCAACGGGGAAAGGCAAGGACAGGCAAGTAAGGAAGGAAGGGGAGGGGGGGTAGGGGGAAGGGAGAGCATGCCGCGCAGTATTTCCAACAGTATCGGAAATATATCTATTTTTATCTCAAGAGCGGGTAATAATAATAATAAAGAGAGTGGGTCAAACAAGAGGTAATCAGTGTAAGATACTAAAGTGGGACACTCAGTACACGCTGACAGCTCCCGTAATATGGAACGAAGGGATTTGTTCGAGGTATTGGAGGGTGTGTGGAATAAAGGAGATCGGGTGATAGTGGGTGTGGGGTGGCCGGATGCCCGGGGGGGGGTCCCAGATCCGGGTGAGGATATTCAAGCGAACTCCTAATGAGGTAATTCGAATGCGGTGAAAGCGGCGCAAGTGTTCCAGGGTATTCAGAGACAGAAGGAGAGATGGGATCGAGGAAATGAGTAGTTTGTTTGGGGTACGTAATAGAGTACTGACATGGGGTGGCAGACTGCCGGGAACGTGGCCTGAACAGGGAGGAGTTGGGCTTTCTTGTAGCTGCCGTGTGAAATACCGGTACGAGAAAGAGCGACCAAATACAGGATAGGAAAGGGACAACTTCGAGAATCGGTGGTGTCATTAGGAATAGAATATTGGGATAGTTAAACAATTGAGAGTCTCTAGCCGGATGTGCTACTTGTATCTTTCGCCGAAGCCGCTGCATCGGGAAGTGCGCCGTGTTTAAGGAGGATCTGCACAATTGATTCATGATGTAGTGCTTTCGCTGCTAGTAGTGCATTGCCATAATGGCCACCCTGAGCATTCACATCTGCCCCACGCTCGAGGAGAAGCCGTACAATCGGTTCGGCCTCTTTTGCAATAGCTGCTTGTAGTGCATTGCCATAATAGCCACTCTGAGCATTCACATCTGCCCCACGATCGAGGAGAAGCCGCGCAACCGATTCGGTTCCTCTTTCTGCAGCT